CCTTAAAAACAAATACAGGCCCACAGCTAATGATATTTATCATAGCCCATAGGCAATATTATAAAATAATAAAATTATGAACTTTAAATAAAAGTTCAATAATTTAAATATTAAAGTTGATTTTTAAAAAGTTTATCAATATTTTAGGAAACAATTGAGTAATTTATTTGGGGGGGCTATTACAGGTTATAGTGCGACTGAGTCCCCAGCCCCCCCCCCCCCTATTTGCACTTATGACTACATGGTTAATTGAACTATTTACTAAATAATCTATTGAAAATCGTCAAATTAAACTATCTAGGAAAGAAAAAAATCTGCAAAAATATCGACTATTTAAAACTGTCATGATACTCGCGTCTTTCAAAACGGACTTAATGCATAATAATATATGAACACCATGTTGTCATTATTCCTGACTATTGTTACCGTTATTTACCGATGTACTGCAATGCTATGATATTACGCCATACTGATAACTTTCTTGCGGACTTCCCGTGCCTGACGACCCAACACTGGACATCTGGGCCGATACCTGGCAATGTACCGAGCCGAAAGCCCGGATGTGGTGATGACAATAATCGCAGCCGCGTGACATTTAAACGATACCTCTACGCATCCGATGCTTATAGCTTGGGCGGGATCGATTTTTGGTTTGGACTAAAAGCACATAATATAATATATTATACGTCAATGTATCATTGTGTCGGTCAGGTATATAGATCGTAAATTCTAATTTTATTATACTTAATCAAAACCAATTGTTCATTTAGTTTGTTTGCGATATAACACGTTTGTAAATTGGAAATATAGCGTTATAGAGTTGCATTTGCTTTTATATAATTAAATTAAATCATGTACGTACATAATTATTATTATTATGATTCTATATAATATTACAATCTAGTATTCTATTACAGATTAGTTTTTCGATGATTTTTCTAAATTGTTTTAAGACGGGTAATTAAAAATGTACTTAAAAACATACAACAAATTAAATATTTCTACAGTGAAATGGTTGGTGTACAAACCTATACGATAACTATCAACTAATGATACCACGATGTTTGTTACTGTACCTTTTTGTTGAGTTCGGTGAACAACTGCTTTTCCCATATGGCGGCTTCGCCCTGTCGACACAGCGAAGCTGCGTATTGAATGCAATGCAATTTGTTTGAACTGCGCATTGTTACATCTAGATAAATGCAATCTGTTCCATCCATTACGGTATTTATGAGGTCATTTGCTTCAGCGTTCGTAGGTACCGTGCTTACTTCCATGGAATTAAGATATTCCCCATACGTGATTGTCGGTTTTCCAGCCTGTGTGGTATAACAGTTAGGGATATCAATCACTGTATTATATTTTGAGCACCCAATATATTATCTATGTACCTATTATAACTATTATTTAAAATGTATTTTAATCAAAATTAATAAAAAAATCCGTTTTATTTTTCTATTGTAAATTTTTTATGTTTGACTTCTCTAAAATAAAAATAAATAATATTTCTAGGTTATTCCAGGTACCGAAAAAGCACAGTCAAAATCCTGAAAACTCACTAAGTTGCATTTGGACAAGACGATCTTCTGGGCGAGGAATATCTTGTCGTGACCGACCTCCATGGACAAGTTTGGTCGGTTCAGGAACACGCCGTCCACACCCGGTATGATATCATCCATGTTCTCCAGTCCAACAGTGTTATCAATTTTCGCATACAGGCTAATATCCCTGCCTCGCTCTGTACCTTAAAAAAAAAATACATATGGAACTACGTAATAAAGGGAAAATTGTTCCACGAGAGCTCTGGAGAAACTTCAACAGATTAGAGTGGAATATGGACCAACGGAGTGCTGGTGAAAAATAAGAAAAAAAAAACAAGTCTAAATTAAACCGGTGAAATACTTGAATGGAGACTATTGTAATTATTTCAAGACTAGGCACGGGCGAGAAGAAATAGAAGAACAAAGACCGTTTGCTGGTCTCAGAGATTTCATGCTCGACTTACCAACAAACTTGCGGACGCTGTCGAAAAACACTGAGTTCCTGACACCGGGCACCAATATTACGTCCACTTTGAGCTGGATCCCTGTGCGAATTTTCTCCTCGTCTAGTTTAGTGAGTGCCGTCGAGCCAACCGGAATTCCCGGCACGTGGAACCCAAAAATTCTCCTCGCTTTATCACGCAATATACCTCGTCCTCATCTGCTCAGAAAAAATAAAAATAATGTTTCTTTTTCTAACGCCATTGCCGTGTAGACATCGCTTCCTCGTTCGCAGGCACGTAGCCAGGGGGGGCCTGGGTGGGCCGGGCCCACCCTAAATATACTCTGGCCCAGGGCCGGCCCCCCCCCCCCCAAATTCAAAATATAATTATTTTTACCAATTATCAAAAATGTGATTATGCACATTGAGAAAAATCTATTGTGATTACTATTAGGTAATACAATTATTATTGTAATAATTTAATTTTTATATTCGGGGAACCGTGGATAACTTTATCTGAAAAAATTACAATATAATAGGGTCTTTCAGATACCCTTTTTAAAAACAATAATATATTAACCACAGTTATAAGTCTATGCTAAGTTAGCTTGCGAAAGAACTTTTTCATGTCTGAAAATGACTGAAAACCTTTCTGAGGAATCGCATGACAAATGATCGTTTAAATAATTTAGCTTCAATGAGCATAGAAAAAAAAATTCTAAAAACTTAGATCTAGATATTTTTGTACAATTGTTTTCAGAAAATCATAAAAACAGAAAAATTATTTTATATTGCACTGTTTAATATTTATATAAGTATAAGTGTATTATTAATATTTTCTACTAGTATGTGTTTTTTTTTTTTTTTTTTAATAAATTTGAGTTTCTTTAAAAATTATATTAATTTAAAAATCAATGATCATTTATCTCTATTATTTTTGATAAGTATTCAAATATGAATTAATTTTTGTTAATAGAAGTTAAACAATTGAAGCAGCGTATTATTTTAAATATGTATGTAGATTTATTTTTTATAGCATAAAAAATGTATCCCATAAGTGAAGATGTAGGTAATTCTATATTTTTTTTTTTTTGTTATCAGGTACTTTCTATTTTTGTAATTCTTAAATAAGTAAGTATTAGGTATAACTTGTTGTGAAAAAAATAATTTTAACCAATTACCAACTAAAGGTATATTATTTAAATTAATAAGATTCTTTGTATTGCTTACCCCTTACAAGAATTTCATAAAGAAAAATTATGGAAAGTAATAAAAGGGCTGCGTACGAGTTGACTCCCGGGTACCTGTTTGCCTGCACCGACACCGTTGAGTTGATTCCCGGGCCATTAGAGGGTACGTACGAGTTGATTCCCTATTTTTGTATATTAATTATCAATAGATTGCACGAGTAAAAAGTTTAGCTTTTAGCTTTCATTCTAAACTCAACAGTCTGTTGTTTCTATAGTGGGCACCCAAATATTTTTGTATTTATAAATGAGCTGTTAGAAGTACAATCGGAAACGTATATTAAATGCAGGAGTAATGGAACTAAGAAATCTAAAAAACAACAAGAAAAGCAAATTTTTTTAAGAGAAGAGAGTCATGGTATACTGGTAATCTCATTACCAGATACCAATTTATAAAAATAATGTGTTACAAATTTTTACCAAATTATTAAATTTTTTTATATTTTTTTACCTAGTTACTATACTAAATGTTTTTAATAATAATTTTTTACCTAATTACTACTAAATGTTTTTAATAATAATAAATATAATGTAATTCAATAAATAATTAATAATTAAAAATTGAATGATTTTCAAAATATGAAAAAACTAAAAAAACAACATTTTTGAGAAACTTGTCAGCCAACCTCCTCGTGGTGTTTCTTGGGTTATGCTAATAGGCTGAATATTTTACAAAATATTGAATAAAATATATAATGACCTGGGAATCAACTCGTACGCACCTCTTAAAGACCCGGGAATCAACTCGTACAGTCGTACGTATCTCTTAATGACCCGGGAATCAACTAATATATGAGAAAGGTCTCGGGAATCAACTCACCTATTGCGAATAAAAGGGCCAAACATTATTGGCCCCCCTAGTAGACATTTTCTGGCTACGTGCCTGCTCGTTCGTTGTTATAATAATAAAATAACATGGCGTTTAAGTGCTTACCAACTCTTATTACGGCCAGTTCGATTTTTCCGTAGTCCAAGTAGATCCGATCGTTAATTTTTAGCCGAAGAATTATATCGCTGTTCACATAAATACGATCCTCCGTACATTTAAATTTTTACTCGACATCGTTGGTGACGTAAACATGAGAGTTCGTCGATAATTCTATCGAACGTTGTGTGGTCTATCAAGTAAAATTAAGTATTCTATAAAAATTACTAGAAACGTGATAGTAATAAATCGTTTTAGAAATAACATTTTTTATGACTTCACACTTTGTATAAATTATTATCATACATTATGTTGTTCATTAGAATAATTAAGCCACGCTACTTGAATAATTTTTCTTAGAAATCATAACCGTTATTTAATAATTATTATTTTACATCAATATTTATCACTGTTGTATGGAATATGCTTCCAGTTGTAATGCACGATCCTTCAAGATCAAGTACTAAAGTCATTGAATACGGTACTCGGTTGTTATTTTTAAGACTGTAATTAAAAACCCCTTGGCGAATTTCGTAGACCATTTTTTGACTCTGTTCAAACAATAAGCCGTTAAAATCAAATATTACCATAGATGCACCACTTTCACAAAATTCTTCTATTAAACATTCTAGTCACGTTATGTTCTGAAATAATAATAATATCAAAAGAAATATTTATGGACAGAGAATCTTAACTATTTTGTGTATACATATGTACAAAAATACGTACGGAAGCCACAAGCTATCGTGGTTAATGTATTTGGTGATGGACTTGATTCAATTTTTAAATTACTCATATGGTCAAGATAGTTATCCTCAAAAGAAGCTTTCATTTGCATTTCATTGTCATGACAAAATTACTTTACATATATATTTGTTTTCAATAACGCATAATATTATTTATTAAATCCAATATTGTTCTTACCCATGGGTACACAACACATGGTTGGTTCTTCAGTGTTAGATACAATTGTAGAGTCCATTTTTCACTGTTTTTCCAAAATTGTTTAAGATACAAAATAAAATTTAAAATAATTAAATCAACAGTGATTGTACTAACCAACCAAAAGTGTTTTTAATAAAAGTTTCCTAAGAAATGGATGATGGCATAATAATAATAATAATAATAATAATAATAATAATAATAACAGTTATAATAATAAAAATAAACAGCACATGTTACTATGTTAAGGTAATAATATTAACAGAGAATAAAACGATATTTTGAAAAAATATTTGTCCATAAAATAAATGTGTATTATTGTATAGTTATATTAGTTGTTTTAGTATGCAGAATAACATGATTTATTTAAAAAAACTTGATCAATTATTAAATCTTGAAGGTAAAAATAAAAAAAAAATTATAGACGCTAAGCTAAATGCTCATAGAGAAAATCGTATAACTGAAAATGATAAGCGCCAAGGATTGCTTGGAACACTAGTGGAAAAATACAACAAACGAATCGATAAAATACACCGGGAAAATGTTAAAGATAATAACAAAAAGTTGGAAGCCAGATATCAAAAAACAGAGCAAACGCAACAAAGAATACAAAATCACAGAACACTTGAGACCATTAAAAATAGGGAAAAATTACAAATTATTATAGATAAACACATAAGATCACAAAAATTATTTGCTGAGAGAGAAAAACTAAGACATTCTGAAAAGAAAAAAAGAGATATTGAACGTTATTACAATAAAGTTGATTATCAAAATATTACATTATTAAAAAATCAACAGTTAATCGACAAATGCGTAGAAAATAAAACACTTGATGATTTTGAAAATTGTGACCAAGAATTATTGTTTGCAGAATACGAAGAAGAAATAAATGATGAACCGATGGAAGAAATTACTGAAGAACAGTGTAGCTATTCTGATCAATCGGTAGTAATAAATTATTTCATGTTAACCTCACCAAGTTATATATTTTAATCAAACCTCATATAATACAGTCAAGTAAAATTTTAATTTTATTTAATTTTAGAAATTAGAAAAGATTTATAACCAAACAGATTTGGATAATGTTCGAGTGTATTTAGATAGAATAGCTATGTTAAAAAAAAACTTCAATAATTGCGAAGCTGGCAGACATTTTCTACAGAAGATCGGACCCATTTGGGACTCACTTACACAATGTGTTTATAGAAAATCATTAATTTTGGAGGATATGGCTAAAAACTCCGAAAATACAATGCCCGATGGTTTTAGAAACATCTACGAAAAAACAAGTGACAAGAATGTGAATAAACGTTCATTGGGCTTGGATTCATCTTTTTTAGAAATATTAATAACTGGTTCGTAATCCAAAAAAAACAAAATAATATAAAAAATTATGTATATTTTACGAAATTTACTTAATATTTAACGTTTATTCCCCCAGCTCAATATTTGACATTTTCAAGCTCTGGTTCTTTAGGATTTACAATTTAAAACACAAACAATAAACATTTTATCAAAAATTTTGTAAAATTAATTAAAATATTTATACATTTTATAAATTCTATAATTATTGAATAATTTAACAGAAATCTATTTTATTTTATTTTAAATATTATAAATATTATAATATGTCAGCATATTGCTCTTAAATTTCTGAAAAAAAAAGTTTTTTAGACAATAATATTTAATTAAATTAAAATTGTATATGATATTATAATAAGTTAGATAACTTAATACTTATAGATTTGGACCATGAACTTAGCGACAACGATGTGTATAATGCAGTGGCTAAAGCTAAAGGCTTTATAGATAAATCAACGACCGCACTTGAAATAATGAATTTAGTTAAGTTTATACTAGAACATGAAATAGATGTTAATGAGAATGTTTCGTATATTGTTAGTGGTATATGCAGAAGAACTGTTTTTGAATATACGTAAAGACGAATGAGTTGTAAGCTAACTACAGAAATTAATTACTTAAACTTATTCGTGTAACTAATAATATAATTAATAATTGTATAGACTGGATTCTGGGACGTTCAAAAAATACAATTAACAGGCTACAGTATTTAAACACAAAAAATTTGATACCAAAACAGTTTTTAATAACAAAAAACAGTGAACCATACGTAGAACCCATAGTTTTTGACTTTTTAACGAACGACATGAAGTATGGCTATTTAACCATAGGAGAACAGACAATTACAGAACAAAACATGTATCCGAATAAAGCTCAAAAGAGAATGGAAGAATTTTTGAGAAATTTGAATGTTTGCTATACTAAAAACAGTTATAATACAAATTTCGAACATTTAATGGATAATATGTTCGAAATGCCAGAAAAATATTGTCTAGAAAATGTAACTGTGCAGATTTCTAATTCTGATTGTTACTAAATTATATTTTTTAATTTTTTGTGTAGCACGCTGGTATCCAAGTTGATAGATTGATGGCATTTGTTCACAAACAACTAGCATCTAGTTTGTCGGGAAAATCAAATACACCCACCTATGATAACACAATAGATGTCAAAGAATTGACCTACACAAAATTTAATATACTTGCTAGAAAGATTACAAAGATGATGTTCGGAATAGGGGGATCTTATGAAGAACAGATTTATGTTTTGGAAGTTATTATGAAAAATATTGTCATCGAGATAGCAAAAAGATCGCCCAAAGTACTGTACAAGTATAGAAATAAAAATAAAGCCGTTGCCAAGGAGAAGGAGATTGACATGTCTTTTTTTTTTATCGAATTATCGAGACACTAATACTAATATTTGAAAATTATAATAATATATTTATAATGTACTATAATAATATAACTTTATACTACTGATACAATCTTAAAGAAATGCTACTATCAACTCACCAAATTATTATTTTTGTGATGCTAACATATTTCAATGCTCTACATGCATAACTAAATACTATTAGATTACATCGCATATTGTTTACATATAACGTGGTCATAGTAATAGAAGATATATTAATTAAATATGTAAATGTATGCTATTTGCTTAGTAAATTATTATAATGTGTATTTACTCTAATAAGTAATAACTATTGTTTAAAAATATAATTTAAAACTAATTTAATTTTTGTATTTGTCTGAGTATGAGTGAACAACAAAAAACTGAGATCAGCACCATAGCAGCACAGAAAAAGATTTCCGAACAGATAGCTAATGATGCTCGTTGCATTGAAATCTGCAAAATGCGTCAGAACGCGGCTAATGTATCGTTGTATAGACTATAGGCGTATGCATTTAGAGTCAGAGGAAGAAGAGATATTCACGAATATACAAAAAGTATATGACTTATTAAAAACCAATAAACGTTTTGAATAACGTTTTGTATTTTCAGGCTAAAGAAGCTCAGGACAGACAAATCTGTTAAATCTTGTTAATTTAAAATTTAAAAACAACTTACTGTTTGGTATTATTTTTCGCAGTCAGTTACTGTTGTTCTATTTCCTCCTTATTTTCGTAATTTCTAGATTCTATCATTCTCAAATCATCATAATACACTCTGACTTTCTTTTCTTTTTTTAAAGCTTAATTTTCTTTAATTTGACAGATTAAATCTTTTTTTGCATAAGCCGTTCGCAATTGCTTCTCTACATGACGAAGTTCGTGCGAACTGCAAAAAATAATACCAAACAGTAAGTTGTTTTTAAATTTAAAATTAACAAGATTTAAATTATTAAACAACTTGGTTTTTATTTCGACAATTTCACGGCGTTTTAAATCTGCCATCACTTGAGCAAGTTGTTGCTCTTGTTCCAAAACAATTCGCACGAACTTCGTCATGTAGAGAAGCAATTGCGAACGGCTTATGCAAAAAAAGATTTAATGTGTCAAATTAAAGAAAATGAAGCTTTAAAAAAAGAAGAGAAAGTCAGAGTATATTATGATGATTTGAGAATGATAGAATCTAGAAATTACGAAAATAAGGAGGAAATAGAACAACAAACCCTAAAAAATGAACTTAATTTAGATTATAAAAAGGCGATCACAGAGCAAATACAGGAAAACATTATCGAAAAACAACGAGAGTTATCACTAAAAAATAATCCTATTGTAATTTTTGAAGCAACTGGAAACAGTGAAGCACAAAAAAATAATGTTAAAACGAATTGTTCTCAAAAAGAACTGGAATTATTTACAAAAATGAAAAATGTCGATAGGAAATTGAACGCAAAAAATTCGATAATACAAATAAGTAAGAATCCTAGTAAAATTTGAAATATTGTGCATATTATTGTACCGTGTCTTAATATGTATGTTTAGGCGTATAGAGGAGTATTTGATGGAAATTGATAAGCGAAATAAACAACAGGAAGAATTTAAAAACCAAAAGAAAGTAGAAAATGACAGAATTTATAATTGCTTAGTTGATAATTTAGCATCATTAACGGTAAGTATAATTCGATTGGCAAATTAAAATTAAAGATGATATACTGTAACTAATAATATATTATTTTTTTTTATTTCAATATATTATATATATAAATATATATATACATATATTTTTTTTTTTGTAGTCTCATACATCGAAAAATATCGAAGTGCAAAATAAACTCATTTACGAAGAACAGCGAAGTGCTACTTGGTTGGCAGAGAAAAAAGAAAAAGATTCGAAAATTCTGCAACGGGACAATATGCTGAAACAAAACGAAATGCAATTAAACATTAAAAAAGACAAAAAGAAAGCAGAGAAAGAAAAAGATTATGATCTAGTCAAAATAGTAATAGATTAAATTATAATTTATAAATGATTAATGCTTTTAAAAACCGTATAATATTTAATATGTTACAGTTATTGCAAAACTTAAAAGTCTTTAACGAAGTAGAGGAGAAAAAAAACGCGGAGCGACGGCAAAAGATGATCAACTATGGAAAAGAGTTAAAAATGTCGATCGACCAGAAAGCAGATCTGAGACAAAGACAGAAAAAGGTTGCGATGAACGAATTTTCGGAGGCTGTTAAATTGGAGGAGCTGAGGTAACTCCATCAACATATTTTTTAATTAAACCATTTATTTAAACCAACTATTTATTAAGTATAGGTAGTAATAATTTATAGTAAAATATCTTCAATAACAATATTCAACTAACAATTTAAGAGTTTTCTTAGGTACAAGCAGGGGTTAAAGTGGGGAAAAATTCCAGAGGGGACTAATGTCTCCATATAGTTTTAAGCGTTCTTATATAATTTTATGTATAATGTCTAATACATAAAATCCTAATTTGTTAAAGGGGACGCTTTTTAACCACCGTCAGAGGTAGGGGGACTGCTTCCCCCCACTTTAACCCCTAGGTACGAGGTCTGTTCAAAAAGTACTGACATTTTTTTTTTAATAAGTACAAATTTAAGTTGCACATTATTTACGATATCTCCTTCAAAATACTGTCACCGGACGATATGTATATTGGTCCTGGGAATCTTGTAATTTTTCGAATATCCTTTGCAACTGTTCCGAAGTTAAGAGTTTTAGTTCTAAAGCTGCGCATCATGGTATTAATTGTTGTTCTATAAGCCCAAATTTTAGTCGTGGGAAAATAAATATATATCACACCGAGTCAGATCATTAGAATAGGAAAGGTGTAGTACTACAAGTATTTTTTTTTTAACCAAAAATTCACGAATTGACAGCACTGAATGTGCTGACGCATTGTCTTACTGAAGAAACCAGGTTCCAGGTTCATTCAATTTTTCTAGGAATTTTTTTCAAATCTTTCCTCGCAAAGTATTAATACGTAGGTACTATAACTAACTTATAGAAAACCTGATTAATTGTTTGTCCACGGTGTACAAATTCGTGATGAACAATACCTTCAATTAAAAAAAAAAATTATAAACATTGTCTTTACATTCAATTTTACTTGACGAGCATTTTTTGGCTGAGGGGAAAATTTTGTTTTCTACTCAGATGATACATATTAGTATAATATTATTTTCAAATTAAAGCTAAAATAAAAGTATTATTTATTAGAAGGGAACCAAAAGAAGCAGACCTACAATTACATTTTGAATTATGTGTTTTGAAAATTAATTATAATATATTAATATATTTACTTACATCAGCTATACCTAATAATATTAGTATATTACATTGCCCTTCGTCTGTAAATTGTATTATAAATTAAAGTAATCTGTTCTATATATTTTTCATTCTTTTCATTATGATTTATGTGAATTTATTTGAAAATGAGAACAATTAAATAAATTTTAATCATTGATAATTATAGTCATTAATGAAAATTGATATTGAATGCTTAAATTATTTTTGTGTTTAAATAAAAGTGTATAAAATATAAATGAAACTCAGGTAGGTACATACTGTTTAATATGTTCAAATGGTTTAATACAAATATTGTACATACTTCCATTATACATATTATATAGTTTCATTACATTAGTTGGAAAAGTTTTTACTGCGTAAATAACCAAAACAACTTTTCACACACAACTTCTTCAGTTCTTAAAACCATTTGTTATAATTTTTTGTTTATATTTTACGAACTACGCAGAATGGGTGAAATGAAAAAGGAACAGACAACTATTGTTAAAGAACATATGGAAAATCTTGTAGGATTTTTCCCACCGACGGCAAGAGATCAATATAATATGAAATAAGAACATCTAATATTTGGTAATATTATAATATATAAATATTAGAAATAGGTACTATTTAATTACAACGAACTATATACCTACTATAAAAGGATATTATGATACCTATGCATTCAATATAAGATTAATATTATGTAAAATATTATAATATATTATGAAAACAGCATAATTTGTTTTTATTTTTGTTTTTACACGTGTTGTTAGAAAAACAGTTTAAGTACCTGTACAACATTTTAAAGAAATTGTATGTTTTTATTTCTCCACTAGATCCTTCGGAAGACGTTGAAAACATATCTATCTGACGGGAGTATAAAACTGTTAGATATCAACCTATTTTCAGCCCAATTCTATTTTATGAACAAACTCGTGCCGCTTGAACTAGACGTTTTAGACTGACACGTGACTAGTCGATTTTATTTACGTTTAAAAAATAAATACGCGTCCTACATAACTTAATAGTACGAGTATTTAATGGTTTTATTTTATATTAATATTTGAACTATATGGTATAATATACGTACATTCGTATGTGAATGTGTGTGTGTGCGTGTTTGTGTTGTTGGAATGTTGGCAACACTATCGTCAACGGGGGCAAAGGGGAAAATTGTTTTTAAACGAAAAAGAAAAACGTCAAGAATCCGAATGTTGCCACGATAACGTTCTCCGTCGGAAACCAATTTAAATGTAAATTATTTTTTTACGAAGTTGCTCCGACGCGGTTCTATTTTCAAGTCGGCAAGATAATTATCGTTTAAATATATATATATAGGTAAGAGATCAGTAAAAAAAAAAATCTTATAAACGGCATGTGTATAGTAATATATGCCACCGCATGAATATACAGTGACAAGTCGACTGCTGTGCGCAGGTAAACGAACCGTGCACGCTACCGGCGTACGTACGCACCCTGCTGCGAATCCTCGGCCCTGTTTTCGTATTAAAAATAAAATTGAAATCTCTGGGACACGCGTGTTTTGATCCGAAATCTTTTACGTCCCGTGCGCTAAATCTGGGAATGATCATGTAGAGTATATCAGTGTGTGTGTTTGTTATTGTCAGCGTTTGTGTGTATTATTAGGTATGGGTGTGTGTGTGGAGCTACTGCAGAGTTCTAAACCTTTTTGTGGGACCACAATATATAATAGTAATAATAATATTATACCCTTGGCAATAATAATATAATATTATTCAGTAAAATATTACAGACACTAGGCGATCGGGCCAGACTTTTACCACACACGAAGACTTAGTTATAATATGCAGCAAACGTCTTCTTCGCGTACCTATAGTATTATATTATATTTTGAGTGAAACGCGACCAGTTTAAGCGCCAAAAAGATTTTTTCTATTTTTCAACGAAAAAAAAAAGATAGTACCCACAATAGAAAGTGTACCAAATAGCTGATAGTTGAACTCTAACTCACATAATATTAGTAGAGTTTTTTAAATTTGAGTATTTAAAATATTAAAATTTAAATGTACTAACAAGAAATCAGTTGTACGTATATCATAAGTCATAACTATATAAATACCTACATCAGTTAGTAGTGCAAGTAACAATAGAATTGATAGCAACTCATTTTATATTCAAATTGCATTTGAAAATAACTATAAGTAGTAGAGTTAAAAAGTGTATGAAATAAATTATGCAATTACCATATGATACGCTCGTGTAATATGAATATTATTATATCGAGTAATACCTAAGCATATTCCATTTTGCCTAGTGTGTTCACAAACGTGTATATAACAACGGAAGCCATAATTTGTGGACATAACTCAATAATAAGTTGGATAAACAAAACTCTGATTATACAAGATATATTATATTTAAATTGTATTTTAGTTTCATGCATTCTAACCTAACCTAACCACAAATAAAACGAATCTCAACCACGACGGTATTAGGACATTATTATAAACAAGAACTAGGGTTTACTAATGCACATTATAAGGTATACATAACAGTATAGCATTAGGTCGACTCTTTTTTGTTAGTACATTATATTATATTTTACGTTCGTTTTCTCCGTCCGGTAAATTATAATATTAATAATAATAATTAATAATAATAATTATTAGTATTACACACCGCGCTAATATGAAACCGTACTCAAGCTAACCGTATAGATCCAAAACGGATGCTTTCTAAACAAATACAAACAGTCAGTAATCTGCAGTATAACAATATTATACCTTTGCCTAATACCTACATAGCGATCGCGATGTCTATACGAAATCAGGCTGTAATATCATACGTATATATTACATTGTATGTTTTATACGAGTGTAAACTCGAAGTTAACGATCGTGCAAACAAACGCATATTATTTCGTAAAACGCTAATGTCAGCAGCCACAATATTGTATATTGCTGGGATAAAACGAGGTTACCTATACGAGATCGTCGAGATCACGCGTAACAGCGACTCGAATGTCATTTACATATAGGTAGTCAGGTAGAAGATTACTCATGAAATGGTCAAAAGTTCATAATATGTATAATGTGTATAAATGTAACGAGTTGCTGAAAATTTAATTTACTGTCTGCGAGTACAGGCGCCGCTCGTGTATCGTTAAAAATATTATATATTTTTTTTTTTTAATAACCTGACTGGTAGCTTGCCTAAAGTATAAGGCAAATATAAATACAAATAGACTGCTCTGAGAGAGAAAGAGGGAGAGAGAGAGAGAGAGAGAGAGATGGAAAAGAGAGACAGTATACTGTTGGACAATAATATGTTTTCCAATTATTAATATCGTGCTAGATTTTGATTATGCCGCCAACGCGTTAACGATGCCCAAAGTCAGTAGTATACCTCTCACATATATTATATTAAATAAATATTTTGCTGATTCTCGGATTTGAGGCGCAGAACACGTTTTTTTTCGCGGTGGTTAACTATATAATCGAAAAACCATCCGAATTCTGAAACGCGGGTAGTAACACGCGCGGCGTAAACACGTAAATAAAGTCGACGTGGAAACGGTTCTACCTAATATTGTTTTTATACTATAATATTATACATGACGATGGTCGTATAATATAATAAACAATTTATAACGTTGTTTTTAAATCCGATACCTGCGACATGTGTAACAACACAACACATAATTATAATATACAATATCATACACATGCATAATTAATATATATATATATAATGAAGTATGTATAAGCGCACGTGAGTGTGTGTATATAGCCGACCACTTCAAACGGTCGCGGCGTTTGGTAGTTTTATATAATACCTATGCGACATGCGTATAATATTATATTATATACATTTTATATTTTTATGTGCGGCATCATTGCCGTATCATATTTTTGAAACGCGCCCGCACAGCGTGGCATTATATTATATGACAGCCTGTGTGAAGGCTCGTTTGTGACGCTGCACGTATTATATATAGGTATTTTTTAATATATTATGTATGTATAAGTATTACGTTGCGTAAGGACGTGAAGACTTTGCCCCATGATCATGTTGTACCTGTATGTGACGAGCCTGCCACCCGTACCACTTGTTGTGGCGAAGACGAGGTCTCTAATAAGTAATAACCAAAAAAAAGAAAATCGATATCGATTAATGTTCCCAATTGGCAATTATATAGATATTACTGATATTAGTATTGTACAGAGACCATTTTTTATGGTATACGGACTTATCGTGATCCACGTGACTGTGTCATCAAGGTTTTATGATGTATTTGGATTTTAAAAATCTGTATACACATTAAGTGCTACATTGCCTACATCGCTTACATCATGTGAATATAATATAATAAGCAAGTAATAACTTGTTTGGCCATGGATGCACACTATAATAGTAGTATAAGAGGAACCTGTGAATAGTATAAACATTTTTTTTTACATAAATTAAGTAAATTATAAATAGCGCAAATACCTCATAGCCGTATTATAGAAGCGTATGGATCTATAATACTGCCTATTTTTCCTAAAAAAAATCTGTAAATAATATAAGTTATTTATGTACTCTTACCATATTGACACACACCACCCTCCGAACAAATGACTTGTTTCGTCAGAACTTTCATCGTACAATTAATTGTACTGTATAACACTTAACGTACTCATAATCGGTGACGCGAATATGGTTTAATAAAAATTTTTTTTGAAAATCAGACTGAGTAGAAGATTCGGAGAAAACTGTTAGTGACCACTGTTTCCCATTCAGAATCACCAACAGGAAAATAGGAAATATTGTTGTATAAATACTGTGTTCGGTAGGCGATAGCATATATCCGGGTTTCCACTCACCGTGTAGAATGTAAATTGTAGAATGTTGTGTAGATGTAGAATTGAACGTCTCTATACTCGATATGATGCAATGCAGTGGAAACCCGTAGCTTAACAGGTTGACAGCCATGAGACCCTTTATGGGCTCTCACTGGTTTACTCCCTGAATACTAAAAATGTACACCATGACCATTTCGATACAAGAGACTCGCGACTACATTACACGTTACCCCAACATGCATTGTACGCATGCGCGCAGTCTTATCATGCGCAATGGTCTTATCATATTTAAATATGTATATGACATATATTTATTTATATTTTATTTATAGACATTATAAACACATATTATTATACTTGCTATAAGCATATTAAAATTTATTTGTTAATTATTAATTTATTATGCATCAGTGCAATATTTGTAATTTAATTTATGGAAGGCGTGACCATCTTTTGCGTCATCAAAAAATTAAACACAATTAATTCCAGTACAACTGTGATTTGTGTTCCTACGGCTGTAATAAAAAGTCTTGGTTAATTCGTCACTTCGAAAATACCCATAATTTTATGTCCAGTACCACTAGTATGTATCGCATTATTTATTTTTGCCAAAAACAGCCTACCTATATTTGAAAATTTCATTGTGTGTATAAAATAATAATATACTCTAAAAGTTTTATATTATATCCATGAATAATATTTTTAAATTACAATAAAATACCTCAAATCTTTATTATCTGTTTTAATATGTAATTCCGTCCAAATTTGAATTTAAAATGTCTGTAAAAATAAAAGTGTGTGTATATATTTTTTGTATTTTTTAGTTACAGTCTGAGCTATATTAACTATATTAACTTACTGCTACAATATTATGTACTGTAAACATAATAGCAAGCATATACATAAATTGGTGCTGGCAGGGCAAATATTTCACCTATTGAAAATGAGTATCGAAATGAATTTTCACCTATAGCCATGCAAGGGGAAAATGAAATCATTCAAACTATAAATCTTTTAGAGCCAGTAGAAATCACAGAGCATACAATTTCTAAATCTCGACAAGAACTTATAAGTAAATTACAAGTGATGCTTGGTTATGCTCAGTCTACCCTTGAAGATAATATTCCCAATACTTTGAAGTATTTAGACAAAGCTCTTTCTTACATGAAGAATCCTGATAAGAAACTTGTTGAGAAAGAAAATTTGAACCCTTTGAAGAAAATCATTCAACAAAGAGTCCAGTATTCTGAGAAAAAAATCATCAAGATGAATGGTAAGTGTTCTCAAAAAAAATCAATTAAAAAAAGAGACATTCCACTACTGCCAAAACCATCAGAAAATGAAATTGTTATGTGTAAGGACATTCTGAATGGTAATAAGAGGACATCCTATGTTCACACAGGAGTAGATCACACATATTTTCAAAATGAATAACTTTTTTTATTATTATATTAAATTCTTTTTTTTTTTTTTTTTTTTTTTTTTTTTTATTAGATAAATAGAATATTTACAATCTGTAATTTTTATGATACAATAAGTAAATTAGGTAATGAAAGAAACAATAATAACATGAATGGCTTGAGGAGGGAGGCCCACCAGTGTGGGTACCCTCTAACTTGGGGTGAGGGATGTCATGGAGTGGACGAAATGGGAAGTGTAATTTTGTTAATTAGGGAAGTAAGAGCCAATAGAAGAGGGTTTAAAATACATTTTAAATCTTCAATAAATTTGTTGATGATGTGGAGAGGTTGATTGACTGATGAAGAGTTGGCTGTGGCTTTGGCATAAGATGTCGGTTTTTGATTTGAGTTGTAACTGGGGACGTTGAAGATTTGTGGTGCAACAGGTACAGCAGATGGTGGGCTGGGGTGTTTTTTCGGTTTTTCAACTTTGTCAGCTTTGTAAGCGACTTTGTAAATGGTGCGCTTTAGTAAATTTTTAAAAATTTGACAACCTTTGTAGTTGGCAGTGTGGTTACCGTTACAGTTGGCGCATTTAACGGGTTCTTCCCGTGGTTTAGAGCAATCTTCGGTGAGGTGGCTTAACCCACATTTCACGCAACGCGGAGGTTGGTGGCAATAATTGCGTGTATGTCCATACATTTGACAAGAGTGACATTGGGGAGGACCAAGTGGCCTTATCGGATGCTCGAATTTCACAATTGAGTTAAACAATTTGTTTATTTTGAAAATGTCGTTGTTGTTGCTGTTGCGGGCTAGGGAAATATTGAATAACGGAAGTGGCGATTTGTTTGTACGATTGAGTATGTTTGAAATGCTGATAACTTTGTGTCCAAGGTCTCTTAGGCTATTAATGATGTCCTCGGTGGTGGTAGAGTGGTGGAGGTGACGTAATACAACGCGGAACGGTTGGAGAGCGCGGGGTTGATAACAGTGAAAATCACAGGCGGCATTGATCAGATAAGATTTAATGGCTACATACTGAGCTCGTGTATTTGTCCGTAAAATTAAACTGGATTTATTAGCTTTGCAGGTGAAGCTCTCTGGGCCCACCAGACGGGTAAGATCCTTATTGAGAGTAGTAAAGTCACTTACGTTTTTTAGGACGATGTTAGGAAGTTTGAGGTTATTCTGAACTGGCAACGTTACGCTGGATGGTGAGACGGGGAGGTTGGCGATATCAAGTTCTTCGTCTTCCGTTCTTAAGACTTCAAAACGGTTTGGGGAAACAAAAACTTTGCTCTTTTTGTCTTCGTGGACCGGAGAGTTTGGTGATGACGATGACGATGAGAGGGCTCTTTTTGTTGGAGTGGCATTCATTTTCGATTTGCGAACGGTGTTTTTGTTAATTATAACGATAGGAGAAACCACATTAGCCATGGCAATTAAAAGTAAACTGATAAGATACGTAACACATTACGGAACAGCGCACATGCTATCGCTTTGGCTGCCGAAACCCGACTGAATATTAAATTCTTGACAATATTAATTATGAAAAATAAATTATAATTACATTTAATATGAATTCAATTATTATTAGTGTATAGAATTCAGTTTAAAAATAAATATATTCAGTAAGTCCCAATATTATTTAAAGATGATAAACAAACAAATATTATACAATTATAATTATTATATATATATTATATATTATTATATAATTATTATAATTATTATTATTATTATATGCATTATGCAATATGTATGAGTTATTGGTAATTCATAGAATTGATGTAGTTTTATCATTGATTTTATAAATTATTTTTGATTAGGTATAACAATATAATAATATTATTATAGTTAATAATTCTGTATTTCTGTTATAATTTTCTTATAATTATAAATTATTAAAAAATACTTTAACATAAGTGAGAAATAGTGAGAATAGTGAGAAATGTCAACTATCAAATAAATATATGTCATAAACATAATATATGAATATGATAAATATTTAAATATGATAAGACCATTGCGCATGATAAGACTGCGCGCATGCGTACAATGCATGTTGGGGTAACGTGTAATGTAGTCGCGAGTCTCTTGTATTTCGATAGGTTTACTTAAACCATAGAACAATACTTTTTTTTTTTTTTTTTTTTTTTTTTTTTTATTAAAATACATCTACAATCTATACAGTTAATAGTATAATAATTAGATTTGATAAAGGAATATAACATTAACAGTGAAATAATATGATTGGGAAGTTATCCATTGATAACACCCAGCACGTGATAATATATTAATTTAATATTAATATAAATATGAGTTGAAGACCTATAAGGTACAATAGTTAGTTTAACGTTTCTGGCGATTAAAAATATTTTAATTTAAATTAATTATGAGATAATAAAGTTAATGCACTATGTAACAGGCTGTTTATTTAGAACAGCTGTAAGGAGCGTGATGAGGGAAGAGATTAGAGAGGAAAGTTCAGATAAGAATTTTGTTAGTGGGTTATCGATTGTGTGAACATTGGGTAATGGTATATTTTTAGAATTAGTAGCGGATGCGTAAGAAGTTTTGGGAGGGAGAGGGGGAGTTTGGAGATGAAAAGAAGTGAGTACCGGATTCGGATTCTGTTGTTTTGAATGAGTGGTTCTGCGTCGTTTGAGAAGAGATTTGTATATTTGACATCCTTTGTAGTTGGAAGTGTGATTGCCCATGCATAGGGAGCACTTAGCTGGGCTGGTTTTGGGTTTGATGCAGTCGTCGGTGTGGTGGTCGCCCCCACATTTGACACACCGTGAAGGATGGTGACAAAAGTTCGCAGTGTGACCATAGTTCTGGCAGTTACGGCACTGAGGTGGACCACTCCTGGTCCTGTATGGAAATTCGACTTTGATATATGTGTGCAAAATAGTAGACAAGTTTAGGATTTCTTTATTGTTGGTGTTGGGTTTTAACTCCACAAGAAAAAGTGGGCATGGGTGACCATTTTTTTTGACGTTTGTGACACGGCTGGTGTGGTGACCTAACTCCGAGAGTGCATCAGATATATCGGGGATGAGTGTAGTGTGGTGCAAGTTTCTGATAATGACCTTGTAGGGTCGACGTGATGGAGGCATAAAAGTATGAAAAAAGGCACTGGTGTTCTTTAGATGGTCAATGATTAAGTTAAACATGATACGTCCGTGAGGACGAATAATCAAAAAGGAAGACGTGGACTTGCAAGAAAAACCGTTTTGGCCGGTGATTTGAACTAACGCGTTTTTAAATGCGGAGAAGTTGGTGATGTTTTGAACGTATATTGGCGGAGCCCTGTTGTTGACCTGGTTATGATGAAGTGTAGACTCGTTGGTTATATTAGAAATAACATTAGAGGTGTCGTGTTGGATTTCGATGTCCTCTTCGGTAGCTAGGACAGCGAATTTATTTGGCGAAACAAATGACTTAGTTTTTTTCCCCATTTGGATAGGTGAATTTGGAGAAGATGGCAGCGACCGTTTGGATATAAAAATGTTCGGAGAGGTAGTGTTATTCATATTGGAATGAAAACGTGTTCAACGGAGTGAAACCCGAGAACTGTTAACTGTTTACATACTGAAACGCGATAACGGAGCGAATATAACCGTACAACGTGCGGTCGCGTTGCAGGTCAACAGCGAACTAGAACAATACTTAAACTGAACTTAACAGTTTCGCAGAAAAAATCATAAAAAAAAAACTAATAATGATAATTGCAAACTTGTGATACCTACTGAAGGTGGCAACACTGTGGATTTCAAATCCGACTAGAAAATACTGATAATTGTGACTCTAAAAGTCTAAAACGAGTCTCAATAGCGATTTTGAGTAATGTACCTGAGACTGTGTAAATTAAACTGAGTAAACCGTTTTACGCGTCGTCGTCATCCATTAATACGCGATTGTATATTTGCAAGTCTCATATCTTCCGGTCTAACGTATACGTTTTGTCGTTTTATCAATTCCCAACGGGTTCGATCCGAGGGTGGCATGTTAAGGTAATACTCAAAAAATGTCACCAATATTATTTATAAGTTTTTTTAGGAATAATTTAGTCAGTGCTAATTATAGATCCATACGCTTCCATACGACTGTAAAGCAATATACGCGTTATTTAGAAATCACTTACTTTACATAAAAAATATTTTTATTATATTATAATTTATAACTTATAAAGTGTACATATACTGTGTTTGTGTATATACGTATAACGTAGGTGGGTAAAATCTAAGATTTACCTTATTCTACTACATCAATTTTATCACTTAAATCCAAGCCTAGGCAAGTTAATGATAATTTTGAATTCAGTTAATTTAAGTTTATTGAAAACATTTTAATAAGTTTAAAGTTAATACCTAGTTATCCTAATTTTGTTTTCAACGCAGTTTAGTTAATAGGTATATGGAAACTTACAATTAACTTATTAGCGTAAGCTCAGTTATTTTTTTTTTTTATGTATTTAAATAGCCAGTAATAAAAAATAATAATAAATTAATAAGTAAATGTATATGAAATATTATATATCATCAATAAAAATTGTATTATATTTATTATTTAATTATTTATAAATTAACGTAACTTGGATTTGATTAAAAGTAACTCGTTATTTATTAAGTTTATATCAATAAAAAAAAATAAAAATCAGTTAAGTTAATAATTAAGTTAATAAATATTAAATTTTAAAAAGTTAATAGTTAAAAAGTTAAAATTAACTTAACTTTTACTTTTTAACTTGCTTATGCCTTGCAGGCTTGCTTAAATCAGTGTATTATTGTTATGAATCGATTACACTATCCAAGAATAAAATAGTTTACACTAGCAGATTAGACCATGAGATAACTGAATCCGTTGGAAAGTTTTAGGAACACTCTGTCACCCTGTATACGAATATGTTCAGGTACTCGTGTTGTGTCGTCGTCAAAGCCTTTGTCGGCGGCGAGTCATTAACGCGACCCATGGATATATTATAGGTACTACTATACAGTGGTATACCTATAATCTATATCATTA